ATGGCGGACAATCTAAATCATTTTTCTGACAACGAGGGGTCGGATTGGCTGGCGAATATTGATCCAAGTTTATTTGATAAATCGAACGAAGAATAGCATTTAGACGAGAATGAAGTTACATCATTTATTGAAGAATATAGAAACAGCAACACGACGACGCGCGAATTCCGTTCTGCTTCGCATACTTCTCTCATGCACTCACGGTAAATAAATATCCACAAAGTTCGCCTGTACAGAAATAACAATTTGGCGTATTCGATAGTAAAAAAACTTATTAGACGTTTGGGTGTGTCGCACCGCTAAGCATTTTTACTCGTTATTTGTATCTTGAATTGCCCTACGGGCTCTTCAAAATACGGCACAACTCGTTAAAAATACTCAGCGATACTACACAACAAAACGTCTAATAAGATATATATATTTTCCAATCTTTAAGTTTGATTCAGCAATAATACTGCTAAGAGAAAATAGCTGCAAGTCACTCTGAGGGGTTCAAGGGTAGGATAGCCGCTTGCTTCCTTGTAACAGTTCTTTTACATTACGCATATGAAGTTTATTTTTTTCCAGGTTCAAAACATCATGCGCACCCTCAGTAACAGTGTAGCAGGGCTTCTCTTGTATCTTGGAGTGCGACTCATCGCTGAAAACAGTAACACTGTTAATGTAGAGCTGGATGCTCCAGCTAAAACCAAGTATACATACACCTAACCTTTCAGCACCCAATGTCTAAGGTGTAATTCACCCTGGAAGCTGTTATAGATTTTCCTTCGAGGGTTCCAGGAGATATTAACATATTCCAACCGGCAAGTTATATGTGATCAGTTCTTGAGTCACGTGTTAAACGGCACTAATTGACCCTTGCTCACCACAGAGTCTCCTGTAGCTCAGTAGTTAGAGCATCCGACTAGATCACGGAGGGTCGTGGGTTCAAATCCCATCTGGAAACTTGATTTTTCTCTTATATTAGAAATTGTTGTTGACAAAATGCCGTCTTTTTTAAGAATTGCATATCCTTTGAACATGCCAGCGGAAACTACTAATTAGTCACATCCTTCTGAAATGTGCGCAAGTCCCTCTAAAAAGGTGCGCAAGTCATCCAAAACCCAACCAAACTCAGTTTACTTTGGCCGACACACGTTTAATCTCCAGCCTTTCCCCGCACTAAGATGGCTATCTTATGATGAAGGTCTTGTTTCTTTTGAAAAATACAGCTCATGTGATTTGACTACCTTCTACGCAGAGGATTGTTTCGTATGATTAATGCGATTTAAGAGCTAAGAAATAGTCAGGTATGATAAGTGGGCCTAGTAAAGGTTCCCTCTCCGCTCTTGATCCAGCTCAATGCCTTCAAAAAGCGACTCGAAGTTCCAGCTCCAAAGCCCTGCACAACAAGAAGAGAAGACAAGAATAAAAAAATTCCCTGTGTTGCATATTCACATGAAAAATTATCAATCTGATAAACCAACAACAGTTTGCAACTTCAATATTGGCTACTTTCTGGCCATTCTATGATTGTAAGAAGGAAAGACGATTGAAGGCCAGAAGAGAGTTTTCCTACAACGAGGAGCTCTTCATAGGGCAGTTTTCCATCGATAATCGAATGCGTTCCTGGATTGCATTACGTTTGCTAGGCTTCGCTCTGTGATTTGTTTAGAAACCTCATGCCATCCTCTCAACCAATCAGAAGCAACACAGACACCAATCACCACTTGGTGACCCGCGTTTTCCCGCGCTTTCCTCGCGCCTCCACTTTGAGAACTCACTGGCTTCTTAAGATATATTTTTTCGATCTTATTAATGGTTGGAATGTCCTTAGCTCAGAATTTACGTTATTCAGTCGAAGTCCCTTTAGTTTTAATTGCCAGAAGAGAAGATACATCGTTAACAATACAACACTCCTCATCAGGGACCCCACCACCCCACCCCTCCCCTCTCTCACCTGGTGATTGTGCCTCTGTACAACTTCTGAGAATAGTGTTGGTCTGTCCTGCATTGGTTTTGTGAAAATCTGCAGCAGGTAACCCTTGTCATCAAAATCGACCAAAATCTTCAGATCTTGAAGCTAGAACATATTTAAGCAGAGCTTACTAAAATTTGGGTCCCTGGCCCAGGAAGCCTGAAACTTGCCCCAACCCCCCCACTCCACCCTCAACCTTAGTTCGTTAACGACTAAAAGTCGATTAACAATCCAAAACAATCCTAAGTACTCATTACTAATTCTCATCACTGTCTTTTATACAATTCTTATGATGTGTGTTTGGAGAATTTGATATTGGATCAACTAATAATCCCTTGGTTGATATCTTCACTGAAATTCTTCTCCACTGTTTCCATCCCTCCTCCTCCCTCTGGGTCAAAGTTAAAATATCTCACCACATTGAGTTCTTCCTCCACCGTATGGGTGCATATCCTTAAGCCAGGCACGAAGATTTTTATGTGTCAGGAATAACGAGAAATTCCACGCCCCTTTCCTTTAAATTCCTTATTTGAAAAAAAGTAACTTCACTGTAAAATTTATAACAATCTTTTTACAGAACACACCATTTAGTAAAGTTAATGATTCAGGTTGCAATTGTAATTTACAGCAAAGATGATGTCGGATGTATTGAGTGCAATGTGCTGTACTCCTGCTGTGCAATAGTAGTCCAAAAATCCTTCAGTAAGATAAGTATTATAAAGACCAAATGATGACATGAATTTTGTGTGTTGAATTATGCAACAACAATGCAGCTTTATCAGAGCTACATGAGTATTCCTAGCACTGGTTGCATAAACGGTTCAGATAAATACTGGGAAATTAACCCACTCCATTCATAATCAGTTTTGTCAGCAGAGTGCAGGGAAGGGAAGGGCCCTCTGTGCCACCCATCCTCATTGTTTGAGCTGTACTGCTAGATTCATCCCACAAGCCAAGCTATTCCAACTTGGCTTAGTCAGCTGGTTAATTATACCAATGCCATATCTTAATTCAACTGAGTATGAATGGGAGTGTTGTGACTACCATTGATGTGGTTGGCATTGCTTGAATTTCCACTGTAGAGGCCAATTCCTTTGGTGTAATCCTAACAGGTCATAAAATAATTCTTTAATGTATCATGCTTGTGCTGTCAAAATGGCTTGATATTTCATGAGGTATTTACTAACCCTGACTTAAGTCTCAGAGCATTAAACCCAAATTCAAAATAACAATAAAAATTATTATTATTATAATAACTTCGCAAATATCCGGCTGTGAGAGAGATTTACCACCACATTTTTGTGAAACAGCAAACGTCAGCTTGCCCTTTCAAATTCACATAAATAGCATGAACCTTTCTGCTTTAGCTTTGTGAGAGCTCACACCATGGTGGATTTGAGGGCACCCTTGTATAACTCACAATTAAGGAATAGTTTTGTGCCCTTTTTTCAGCAATTAACTACTCTGTCAGAGATAATAAAAAATTTTGTACACGATGAATGCGAAACAGGTAACTCTCTAATAGAAACGGGAAAGTGCAAACTGCAAACATGAAAAAAATGGAGGGAAAAACATCACATGGTCACTCTTGCTATTCATGTTTCAGGTAAATGCGGTGCCAAATCTCTCTATTGTTACCCAATGTTTGGTTCATAACCATGCATGTACCTACTTGTATCTGGCTCTTCCCTTTTCCTGGGGTTGGTTCATTGAGTGGCATCTTAATTGTCTCTTCCCCGTTTGTGGCCACAATTGAATCGCAGTGCACTGTACTCTGTATGAATCTAAACAACAAAATATCATTGCAGAATTTTCACAATGAAGCCAATACCCCATGTTCTGCCCACTCCCCCAATTATGCTCTGCCCACTCCCAAGATCTGAAAGCTGATTCTTCTTAATTGCATGACATACAAACCTTTCTTGCCAAAAAATAGTAAAAGGAAAAGAAGGTAAGTTCCTAGAAAATTAAACAATAAAGTAACTAAACAGGAAAATGTCTGCGATAGTGTTGTCTGATTGTTGGGATGAGTGCAGTCCTGAGAAGGTCTGTTGTTGATGGTGGTGGCTGATGTTTCCACAAACTGAATGGATTAAGTCAATCATCAACAGAGTCACTCTAACCAGTGTGACTCTCACCACCACTGTCAACAGTCCTTCTCAGGGCTACATCCACCTGGACCATTAGATGACACACTCACATAATATATAGATTTAGCCAAGCCAAAAAGCGGAGCTCCAAGTTCGTAATATTAATGATAACATAAAGATGTGCATTTGCCAAGACTCGCCTGAGACACCCCTCCCTTCGTTTTGATAGTCTCCCCTACCCTACCCATGCGATCTGAGGGCATGTAGGCTTGGTCAGTCAGGTGACAACCAAACGAAAAGAGGTTAACCTCGAAACGCGAGTGGAAGCCCCGCTATTACCCCAGGTTCAAAACATTTACTTGAATTATTAGGAAAATACATTTCACACAGTCAAGTATTTTCTTCATTGAACCATCCTCTGCACTGTATAAAACAACAGATTCCATTTTCCTGTTAGCGTCTTTTTAGCTAAAAATATCCAATGTAAGATACACTGTTTCCAGAAGTGATTAACATGTACCTTCTCCCATGATAGCCATACATTACCCAGCAAACAGGTAATGAGAATACTCAAACTTATCAGGCAGAAGTTGTCATCTTGATTTAACACCAAATTTGTGTAACTAATTTACAAGGAAAAGTGTAAAAGCTAGGGGGGAGAATTAAAATTCAGATCCTGGCAGTTAAAAGGGTGAAAAACATCTGTGTTGTGAAAACGTTACACAGACAGTCACAAGGAAAAGTGCTTGGAGTCTGTTTCTTACATTAGTACCATACCTGTTTATCATCAACAGACCAAAACCTGTGAAACTATAAATTCTTCTCATACTTTTAGAGTACACAGAACAATGTGTAAATGTTACTGATAGGTAGAAAAACACAAACAAGATGTTAAACTTGATATCTTACTCAACAGAATACAGTTTATTAATATTAAATGCCAGTTAGACTGGACTTACTATTCGGCAATGGACACCATAGCATTTTCTGGCTGGTTACCAATGACATGATCAATAAAATGAAGAAGGCCTGGTGGTCTAAGAAATACAAGAAGAACAGTTTCACCAGTAGCATTGCAAGTGCACATTTCTATGAAAGACTGATTAAAAATGAATCACCATGGATTGATCGATGTTTCCACATGAAGAAAATTCTTATAAACAAAATCATCAGATATTTTCAACACAGACATCAATTGCTTTGAATAACAGTGTTCATCATTGGTGAAGGATGAAAAAAACAAAACAATAGCACCAGTCATTATAACTGCTAAATGATATTTTTTTGATGTATTTAAGAGATCTTGTCTCATTGTTGTGAATTTGATGAACATGTTAAAAATTAGGAAAACCCTTTCCTCTAAAATAATAAAGAATCAATCTCAAACTGACTTAAAAGAATGACATTCCACCAACTTCAGCTCAAAAGGAACAGTGCGAGCGTTATGAAAACTGATAGTCATCTACACAATGCAAGTATTATAAACTTCAAGTAATCTGTGTAATGCATAATACAAATAGCTTTGGTGCAGAACAGTTAAAGGATACTTACAGTTTGGAAAGAAGGCAATCTTTGGCTATTAGAGACTTGTTGCCAGGTAGAAAGAGACCACTGAATTCCTTTCTTTCAACAAATTTGGGTGTAATGTGTCTCCATACTACAATCAAACAGGTATCACAGAGATACAATTTAAAGAAGTAACTTTCTTCCTGACATTACAAAATTTCCTTCAGTGCATTCTAGCTCCTGCCCCAACCCTATGCAAAGGAGACAGAGCAATGGTAGTGTGAGAGGGGCTTGGCCAAGATCCTGAATTCAGCTTGCATTCCCTCACTCCAGTCAAGGTAATAAATATGTACCAGCAAACTGTCAGGTAATCCTCAGGAAATGCAGGGGGGGACCCTGTGATGGACAGGCATTCTTTACAGGAGAGGGGGAAATGCAGATACTACTATTCACCTTAGACAATTAAAAGGCAAGATAAGCTGTTATCAGACTGCCTAGCTGATCTGGCTGAATTTACTTTGAACCTTACCAATCCTATGCATTATTCCCTAACACTATTTACTAACTTTTTCTCTGTTCCTAATATTACTAAACATGCTTTGAATTAGGTCAGAGATCATATCAGCTTTTGGTAAGCTAACAATTAAATCTGATCCTAGGCCTACTAAAGCATTGACCAATGTGTTGACTGACATATTGGCTGATACACCACTGACACACTAGCTACCGACACTGAGCGGGAAGGAATAAAATATCGTAAACACCAGCATATCATGGGGTTTGACACTAAAATTTTGGAAAAAATAAGATTAATTTTGGGAATGACCAATGCATCAACCAACATATTGTTGGGATCAAATTTATAACCCTAATCGTATTTGTAAAATTCAAATCTACAGTTAAAGCTGTGACTAATGTTTCCCTAACTAAAAGTACGCAACTAGCTCATGTTAAGTACTAATACTTGTGTCACAAGGCAGCATGCAGTACATGGGAGTTTGTAGACGGACAATGAGATGCATGCAATGGAATTGATTTGACTTGAACTATCTCATGGCCAACAAGTATGAGTGAAATTATTGCCATTCATTCTTAAATAACATGTCAAGAAATATCTCAAGATATAGAATCACAAAAAAACTTTCTCCATTGTTTGTGACCATGCATACTTATGGTCCATGGTAGAAGAGCTCTGATGCATGTCCTGTAAACCAATCACAACTCAAGATAAGCAAAATAACATGGCTATTTTTAATAGTAATAGATATACTCACTGTCTGGACAGTGGCAAAAGTCACTGTATCATCTTCAGCTGCTTCATCCCATGGCTCGTGAACAGATACTGCACCACGCTTAATGGCTACCTGTATAAACCAAACTGAAGGAAGTGCATGAACAACTTAAGGGAAGACGACTGTCAGAGAAATGGCTTTGATCACTCAGGCAGCCGCTTTCTCACTCGGTTTACTGACCAAGGCCTGGCACTGGCCACTCAAGTAACACTTGAGTGTTGGAGCAGAGTTAAATAGAGGTTCCCTCTATTAACTCTGGTTGGAGCGAAGATTGGGAACTAATCTCCAAGTATCATCCCGGAAGTGGACCCGGAAGTGGAAAAATTAAGTAAGCCGTAATGGGAGGTGGAGATACTAGCCGAAGAAAAGGCACCATTCCTGGGATGAGAGACCATTTCTTCAAGATTGGGAACGGAGGAAATGCCTGCTTCCTCTAAATGGCCCGAAGATACTTATGATATCTCAGTGAAAACTACTGCTTTTGGTGTAAAAGGAGACGCCATTGGCAAACGATCGAGGAGTCAGCGTTGCAAGATCTTCAAACAACTCAAGTTCGCTCTCTTTGACTCCCACTGGCCCTTGTCTTGTTTCCTAGCAGTTGCTTTTCTTGGCGTTTGGTTGCCTAAGAAGAGCAATTCTCCTTGCTGCTCACTTTAATACCAGTATTTCACATGCTCTTCGGCTTGGGAGCACATATGTATTTCATTTTGTTGGCGAGAGACCAAAATACCCTGAAAGTTCATATTGGGTCCAAAATACTACTCACATCGTTATGGATAAGCGGCATTTCATCGTACATCCTAGCCTTGTATTACTTCAGATATCAGTCGCAGGAATGGAGGAGAGGTCTGAGCAAAATTCAACGCCGAGCCGTCAACGTGGTTCTTTTCACTGGTTTGCTACTTGTGTCATGGGTCCTGTTTTTAGATGGGTAGGGAAATCAGTGAGACGAATTTTTTTTTTTGTAGGATTAAGTCTGGAAATTTCTAATTCTTTGTTTGCACGTGACGTTGGCATAAATTATAAAAGCAAGGTCAGCCATGTCGGGGGATAACCACGCGTTACAATCCCTGTAACATAGCTGTCTGAAGTGTAAGTTGAAGGTGTTACGCATATACTTGTCAATGTCATGCATTCTAAATAGCTGTCAATACTTGTAATTAAGTATGCCAATGTAGACTATTTTAAGACTTGTGCTGTAGTTTGGATTGTAATACCTTTATTTTGTGTCAAC